CCAATCACCAATCAGCTCAAACCCCCCACTGGCAGTTAAAAGGAAGAAACAGCTGAGATCTCACATTGCTCCTGGAAGCACGAAGGCTGAAGATGACGAATGAGACTTCGGCGAAACGTCGCCAAGACACTTCCAATTTTACGCGGGAGAAAACCCGAATAACCAAAGACAGACAGACAGGCAGGCAGACAGACAGACAGACAGACAGACATATAATTGGCTATTGTTAAAGAAAAAAATTGAAACCAAATTCTCATTCTTCACATTGATTAGGAATTTGTAGAAAGAAATGCAGAAAATGATCTGCATGGAATAATTATTTTTACCTTATGGCAGGGGTCTCAAACCTATGGCCCTCAGGCCGGAGTGACATGAGCAAGCTATGCCCACCCCAGCTCTGCAAAGGGGGAAAATGTCGCAAAACAGCACATGACCGCAACGTGATGTGGCAAGTTTGACACATGCTTTATGCTATACAAGTATGTATCTTGTATGCCAAACAACATGTTTTTCCATGCAATAGTGTCCATATTTATAATATATAAACATATACTTTAAAAAGGGAACCATTGTAAGTTGGAATTAATGTAGTATCACTTTTCAGTGGAAATTTTCATCACTCTAAGAATGCAATTCCTTTTCCCCAGCTCCCATCCTTTTCCCTGGAAAAAAAATATTTAAAGAGTTCAGGAACTTCTGGAGCCAAATTGTTGGACTGAAGGAAGGGAGAGAAGGAAAAAGTCTGTTGTTTGACAAAAAGCTCATTTGTGAAACATTTCATGTAGGCAGAGCTATTTTTTCAGAAGCAACATTTTTTTAGCTCAGTGGCTTGTGTTGTATGAAACTGATAGGATGATGCTTGTTTTGGAATAATCACTCATGAAATGAGCATTTTGCCACGCTAGTCCCCAAAAAACACAACATCAGCTCATCAGCATCTCTTTTCAAGCAGCTCAATATTATTAACATGTCATTAAAACAAGCAATCACGCTGTAAATAATGGGAGATTTTAATGACTTGGGTAGAATAATTCCCTTTCCAAAAGTTTCTAGGAATAAATCAGTCATTTCCGATAATCGCCTTGAATTAGATTTTCCAAACTCTAAGACAGACTTCCACATGTACCTTTAAGCACTTAATACCATAAACCATTCAGTTTATGAAGATTTAGAATATTTAACTCTTTAACCATAAACCATTCAGTTTATGAAGATTTAGAATATTTAACTATTTAACCATAAACCATTCAGTTTATGAAGATTTAGAATATTTAACTATTTAACCATTTAACCATAAACCATTCAGTTTATGAAGATTTAGAATATTTAACTATTTAACTATTTAACCATAAACCATTCAGTTTATGAAGATTTAGAATATTTAACTATTTAACTATTTAACCATAAACCATTCAGTTTATGA